ATGGACAACACAAGCTGAGTAGACGTCATGCCAAGTGGGTGGCATACTTGCAAGAATTCACTTTTACGCTGAGGCACCAAGCAGGAAGTTTGAACCGCGTCGCAGATGCCCTGAGCCGTCGTACCTTACTTTTCACCACCATGAGTACTAAAGTTGCAGGCTTTGAGACGTTCACAGATATGTATACAGCTGATCCTTCCTTTGGAATGATATTTCAGGAGGTAACTGAGGGTCACCGTCATGATTTTGTTTTGCATAATGGGTATATGTTTCGTGGATTACAGTTGTGCATTCCAGATTGTTCATTGAGACAGCAAATTATAAGTGAACTCCATAATGAGGGACACTTTGGCGGAGATAAGACCTTGGCCCTTATCTCTTCTGACTTTTATTGGCCCAAGTTGACTAGTGATGTGGCCCATTATGTGGACCGTTGTTATGTGTGCCAGCGATCTAAGGGAGTTCTCACTAATGCGGGCTTGTACACTCCCTTACCTGTTCCTGAAGCTCCTTGGTTCGATGTCAGCATGGATTTTGTACTAGGCTTACCCCGCACCCAAAGGGCCTCGGATTATATCTTTGTTGTGGTTGACAGGTTTTCCAAGATGGCTCATTTTGTAGCTTGCAGAAAGACTATGGATGCTGACCGGATTGCCCATCTCTATTTCAAGGAGATTGTGCGTTTACATGGTGTTCCTCGATCCATCACTTTAGATCGTGATACTAAGTTCATCAGTCATTTCTGGAAGAGCCTGTGGGGGAAACTGGGAACGCAATTGAATTTCAGTAGCGCCTACCACCCCCAGACGGATGGCCAGACCGAGGTGGTGAACCGAAGTTTGGGAAACCTCTTGAGGTGTTTGGCATGAACGAAGCCGAAGCAGTGGGATTTTGCATTGCCTCAGGCAGAATTTGCCTACAACAGATCAAAAAACATAACCACAGGTTTAAGCCCATTTGAGATTGTCTATGGTCAGAACCCATCCGGGGTGCTGGACTTAGCCCCTATTCCACGTATAGGTCGTTTCAGTCCTAAAGCAGATGAGATGGCAAAGTATCTTCGGGGTATCCATGAGTAGGTGAAACAAACCATTCATGAGAGCAATACCAAGTACAAGACTCGGGTCGACAATCATCGTCGTCAGGTACTTTTTGATGTTGGTGATTTTGTTTGGGTTGTATTAACTCGTGATCGTTTTCCTGTTGGTGAGTATAATAAGCTTAAGGATCGGAAGATTGGACCTTGTGAGGTCGTGCAGAAGATCAATGATAATGCTTACAGGTTGCGCCTTCCCAGCCACTTGAAGACTTCTGATGTCTTTAATGTGAAGCACATGAGTCATTGTTTTGTGGATTCTGATGACACTACTCTGAACTCGAGGACGAGTTCTTTCCAACCCGGGGTGACTGATGCAGGGGGATCCGAGACAGATGATGCTGAGCTGTCAGATTGCACCTTGATGGCGCTGAGATACCATGAATTGGCAGATCAGCGCAAAGGCGAAAATTGATTGTGACATGTTCCTCATTGGGGTCGTTTTGAGTATGTTTCAGTCTTTTGGCCATAACTTTGGCTACAGGTGTCAGAATCGCGCATAATACCCCAATCCGGAAAGCTCTTTTCGACGCGCACGCTCTCCACAGAGCTACGCTCCATGTGGCCTTTTTTTAACCTCAAATTCTGCCGTTTTCCCCTCCGAATCACTAGAATTAGATATTTTTTTACTATTTATGGTAATATTTCGATTGTCAATTAGGAAGTCAATTTAAATCCGATTTAGGCCGGATTTTTTGGAGATTGCTTATTTTATTTCGAATTTCAATTTAGAGTGATTTTCGGGATTTTGCTATTTTTGGCAAAATTCAAATAAATACGATTTTTGGCTATAACAGTCCGGCTTGTGGACTGATTTGGGCATTGTTTGATTTGATAATATTTTATTAAACCCTAAAGACTTTTTTTCTCTAGATTTTTTAGACGAATTTTCTCTTGTGAATCATCTGTTGGAGCGCTTGCAGGATAATCACTATTCTACTTGCGTCAGTCATGATGTGGAAACAGTACGATGGACACAACACCAATAGTAAAAGCACATATTCAAATTCCCCCGCACTCAATAATTCGATCTTTTTCTTTTTGCATCTTATTAAAGCCACGTCATATCCTCACGATTCTAATCACTTTGGCTCCCAATGAAAAAGCAACTCAACATACAAGTAAAACATGGTTAAATTAAATGATTTTAATATCTTTTGAGTAAATAACTTATTCAATCACCCAATTGTGTCCCTGTTTATTGTTTATCACCAAACTTCTAATTTCGGTATTTTAGTCACTAATATTACACGTTCATTCTATTTTTTACCGTGGCCCTTAAAAATAAATGGAAATAGTGACGTCACTTTGTATAGTATCAATTTTAATATTTAGATATACATTCTTTAAATTTAAGTTGAGATAAATAAATAAAATTAGCTCTTAAAATTGAAAAAAAAATTAATCTCTAAATATATTATCAGAATCCGACATAAAGTCAACCTTCGAAAATAATAATTTTAGTTTATCTCTCGCTACTCATTTTAATTATATGCCTTTCTCGCTTATATTGTTCATATTTCTATAAATATGATTACTCTTTAACCCTGAAAGTTGTTATCAATTATTATTATCTACCTCGATTGATGTATTTTTAAAAAAAAAAAAAAACCTTTCTTAAATTGATATTGTTCTCCTCCTTTTATTTCTTTAATTGTTTTACTTTAAATAAAATCATATAATTATAAATCTATATTTGAATTCGTAAAAGAAAAAAAAATTTATAATTGTTATTCTTTCAAATTGTCTTGAACTTTGTTTCTCATTTGGTTTTTATCTTCTTACACCTTAATTTTTAAGTTCAAACGTGTAAGAGAAAAATTTGACAAAAGTTATGAGTTTTATGTTATTTCTTTTATAAAATATTTAGTCAATTTTGTCACTATTTATTCGTGCAATCTTTGATAATAGTAAATATACTAATCAGACAGACTTTTAGGGACGCGACTGTAAGATCATGCAAACTCTCAGATTAGCATAGCACTTCTCACAAGCAACCACACATAAAAAATCACGTGTCAGTCACATGCTATCCCTGCGAACATATCCATATAACATCACTACAAACACATGACAACTCCTAGCTAACACTTCTCCGTAGCATTATAAATGCTCACTCCGTAAAAGGAAGTAAACCAAGATCAACCCTCCCCCCAGCTACACACTTCATACCATTGAGATCTCCAAGGCTACTATAACTCTTTTCGAATCTACATTGCTTCTACCTCATACCACCCTTCAAGATTGATGGTCATTTTACATGTCAACAATTGGTGTGGTAAGCGTGGATCGAACACGTGACCTTCATATCTTCAATAGTCATTCAACATTTTCCTTTAGTAGAAAAGTTTCTTAGACCCACAAAATGACACTATTTATAAACCCTAGAAAATTTTCCCAAAGAAAGTTTCATTTAACAAAATGAATCATTTTCTTAAAACGTATGATCACTCAACAGTTACTTAAAAATCTAAACTTGAAATCTAAAAAATTCAACACCACACATCTTGGCGCCCAAACTCTCCACATGTTTTCCTGGTTCGCAAAGGTCACTTTATAACCTCCCCTCACCGGGGGAGGGGGGAGGGGGACAACTGTTACGACTTGTGCAATCCTCCATAATAGCTAAATACCACCTAGATGGACCTCCAGGGGCGCGAATGCAAAACCATGTGAACTCTTAGACCAACATAACACATCCCACAAGCAACCACACATAAAAGACCATATGTCGTTCACCAGCTATCCATGCGAACATACTCCTGTGATATCACTGTCAACCACGTGTTGACACCCATGTCTAGACTACAACTATTTAGGGTCATAAACATGACAACTCCAAACTGACAAATCTCCATAGTATTATAAATGCCCACTCTGTAAAAGGAAGAGAACCAAGACCGAACCTCTCACCCTAAACCATTGGTATTTCCCAGACTACCGAAACTCTATCCGGAACCACCTTACTTCTAACTCAAACCATCTTTTACAGTTGATGATCGTTTTACCTATCAACGATCTTTAATATATATATTTTAAAATAAAGTTACAAGAAGCCTAATATATAATTGTGAAGTGGGAAATATAAGCCCAAGTTAGCGAGTACCTTTTTGAATATGTTAAATATTTTTTTATTAGCTTGGGCCGATGATATTTTTCTTTTTAATTCTCTGAATATATGAAATATGAATTGAGCTATGATTATATTGAACCAATGAGTTGAGACGAATAAATTGTAAAAAAAAAAAAAGAAATTGTATTCCTTTTGTGGCATCAAATTGCTTTTCATAAAGTGAACAATCACACTTTTGTATGTAGCAAAGTTTTACAGTTCTTATCTAAATGACGGCAATGATAAAATATTTAAGGAATAAATTAATATAATTTTATTTATTGATAATTAATTTAGAATGAATATCGTAAAGATTTGTTATGAAGACAATTCTTTTAATCCAATTTACTTTACTTATAACATTATAATTTAACCCAAATCTTGTTTAAATATATAAACTTTAAAGATAAAAAATATTATCATATATCCGTTAAATTTATAGCAGCTAGTGGTGAAAATAAAATGAAAATATAATATTAGTGACTAAAATACATAAATAATATGTTATATGAAAAAAAATACAAACTATATCATAGTTAAATAACTAAATAGATTGTTTACCCATTTACTATTACTATAATATTCTATGGAAAACGTGTGTCCCTTTCTTCTGTTGAATTGAATTGTTCGTGTCATTTTTGCACGGCGTTAAGGGCTTTTTTATCACGTTGTTGGCCATATGGCACAGTGTGTGTGTATATATATCTAAAGGATTAAGTTGTGAAGTAATTCATAGCCTAACAAAGTTTCAGTTTTCTTGTAATATCTTTACTGTTTATTGAGCGGCCTTTAATGGAGTCTGAGGAAATTATTAACCTCTTCTATTCATGCTGGTTCGAGATGGAAATATTCAAGAAACAGACATCTCCATCAACATCTAAGGGTTCTGAACCAAACCCAGATCCCCGAGTTGAAGAAAACTCACCAAAACCCGAGTTAACACGCACCCCAACTCTCCATACGAGGTCCATGAGTGACCAGTTGAGCTCAATCAGCACAAGCTTCATGGGTACCAGTTCCTTCTCACCCGACTCGGTTCTCCACCCGGTAAAACTCCATAAAATCATCTCGGGAAAAGAAGTCACGGAAGAAGATTTGCAAGACAACAGTAGGAGAGTCCAAGAACCCAAAAAGAAGGGGCTAGCGAGGATGGTTACCAGAAGGAAAAAGGGTTCCAGTAAGAGCCTGTCGGACTTGGAATTTGAGGAGCTAAAAGGGTTTATGGATCTGGGATTTGTTTTCTCAGAGGAAGATAATAAGGATTCAAGGTTGGTCGAGATAATACCTGGCTTGCAAAGATTGGGGAAGAAAGTAGAAGGTGATGAAGAGATTAAAGAAGGCGGTGACGATGGTAGGGCTGAAGTTTCAAGGCCTTATCTATCAGAAGCATGGGAGGTTGCAGAAACTAGAAGAAGAAGAAAGAAAGACCCTTTGATGAATTGGAGAGTGCCTGATTTTGGAAACGAGATTGACATGAAAGACAGTCTTAGGTCGTGGGCTCATACAGTTGCCTCCACAGTCAAATGATGAGAATGCACATTTCAAGGTTTTGGGGGGTTTTCTTTTGGGATTTTCCCCAAATTTTCTTTATATTTTTCTTTCATGGTGTTAATTACTCGATATTGTATTTTCCGTAGTTTTTCTTTGATTAATTTGTAAATGAAAACTAGATCCATGAATTACCGTGTCTTTTACATTTTAGTTTTTTCATGCGCAAAAATTATCATGTCTTTTATTAGTTCTTTATCATGTTTTGAAAATGCACTCTTCTCAAACTTGAAAGCTTCATAAAATGCATTCCCTAATTTAGTACGCATGGCATGAGATTGATGAAAAATATCAACGATATTGACAATTAAACAAAAAAATAGTGAAGATATCAATTTATGGGTGATTGATGGTCACGAATATGGGTTTAAAAAATTAATATTTATTCGATCTAAAAATTTAAATATTCAAAAAATTAATATATATAATTTTTAAATCAAATTTGGATGATAATTTTAAAATTTGAATTTTTATAGTAATTTTCATAATCTAAAATTTAAATCGAATAATATTTAATAGCTGAAAATACATACTCCTAATTGATTGGCATTGCCTTCCATATGTGAACAGTACACACGTGGAAAATGAGCTGCAGAGGGGTCTTATAGGCCCATGAAAGTAATTGATTTAATCATAAGATTTCAACATGTTCAACAAAAATCTTCCGCCCTCTCTTTGTGCCTCTCTATGTGCCCCACCAATTATTCTTTTACACGTGCCTCTCTATCTTTCTCTTTACTTCCCTTTCCATAATCCACATATACAGTCGAGCTTAAAAATAGGGATTGTCTCAGGAAAGGCGGGTTAATATACGGCTAATATACAGCATTACCGGATACATTAAAATGTATTTAATAAATTCGGTTTAGCGGTACCTATTATGTTGACAACTAATAATGTTTTAGGTAGAAAATATGAAAAACTATTAAAAAATTTGGTAACCGGTAAACTTTGGTTATCGGTAAGTATCTATCCTTTTTATAAAAGTGTCCATACGTTTAACATATCAAGTAAATTTTACCGGTTTTGTCATAATGAATCTGGTTTTGTCATATTTTTACCTGTTATATTGTAAATTATCTATCCTTTTTATAAAAGAGTCCATACTTATTTCACTGTGAAAATATATTTATTATTATCTTTAGTTAATATTGTTAAATTTAAAATCTAAATAATATTTTATAAAATATCAAAACAATCAAATAATTTTTTGTGTAAATGAAATTATTAAATTAATATTGTAGGTGGAAAACATGAAACACTATTAAAAAAATTGAAACATAAATTACATAACTTTCAAAAAAGTATATATCATTTTTATAAAAGTGTCCATACTTATTTCACTGTTGAAAACATATTTATTATTATATTTGGTTAATATTGTTAAATTTAAATGCTAAATAATATTTTATAAAATATCAAAACAATCAAATAAAATTTTGTGTAAATTAAATTATTAAATTAATATTGTAGGTGGAAAACATGAAACACTATTAAATAAATTGAAACATAAATTACATAACTTTAAAAGCAGTTTTAAATCCTAAAAAGTGTCGATACTTTTAAAAAATATCGATCCAAAACGATATACCATGTAAAAATATGATAAAACCGGTAACAAAATGATAAAACCGGTAAATTTAAAAGTGTCGATACGTTATATAAGGATCGACACTTTGTGAATTTAAAAGAGAAGCAGTTATAGCGCCTATAATGTGTCGATACTTTAAAAAAATATATCGATCCACAACGATATAACAGGTAAAAATATGATAAAACCGGTATCAAAATGATAAAACCGGTAAAATGATACCGGATATATTGAAAGTGTCGATACTTTCGTAAGTACGTGTAATAAAGTATCGACACTTTCAAAGAAATAGGTAATTATCCTTTCGAAAGTATCGACACCTGACATAAAAGTATCGACACTTTTGTATTTGTATCGATTAAATATAAATAACATATCCGATGAAAATATAAAGGCCATAGCTAAATATCCTCTGAAAAAAGATAGAACGGACGAGTTTTTGAAATCGAAGAGTAATTGTTGCTGCATTTCAGAAGGCGTTTCTAAAGCGAAGTTTGTTTGTTTGTTGCTGCAGTCGAATCGAAAAGTATGTTGTCGAAACCCTAATTTTTTATTATTACAGTAATCGCGATAGGGTTTTTTATGTGTTGTTTGGGGTTTTGGAGTAAGGAAGCATTTGGGACCGATTGCAGGTAGAAATCGATATTCAAGGAAAAATATAAATGTCGATACTTTTATTAAATATTATAGGTAGAAAATGATATTATAGGTTGTATAAATGTGCAGACACATTTTGGTGTGGCCATTCAAATTCTTTTGAAGAAAACCGTTTTACCACAAGAGTAGTTATCTATATTTGTATATTGAAAAGTGTATGTAACAAAATAATTTGATTTGCGTAAACTGATATATGAAGGAAAAATGGAGTCAATGGGTTGGAAAATTGTTGGTGGAGCAGATGACTTTGAAATTGAGGCCGAGACTCGAAAGCAACCAAAGGGTGGATATATGTACTTCTAGTAAGTATCAATGTCTTTTTGTTATTATTGTTGAAATGGTAATTGGATTAAAGTATCGATAAACTTTAAATTGATTACAAATTTTAAATGTTAACAGTATGGCCGAATGCAAAAGGATGAAGGGAGATGGCACACAGAGCGGTTCGGTATGTAAAATGAAATTGACATTGAGTAGTATTAGTATTTAGTGTTAATGTATTGATTAAGAAACGTTTATGTTTAATATTAGGTGAAAAAAGATGTGAGGTCCAAATGGAATTCAATGAGTGATGCTGAAAAGGAACCTTACATCACACAGTCAAGGAATGATAGTAAAGAATACAAAGAACGGAGGAAAGCACATGAAAATAAGGTATTCATTAAACTTGTAAATACGTTGATACAAAATATATAAGAACTATAACATTATATATTGTTAAAAAATGTAGGAAGTGTCGACAAGATGCAGCATTAAAAGGGTGAATTTATTAATTAAACACCTTAAGGAGAAGGGTCAGTTGAATGTGCTGGGAGAAATAGGTTTTGGATCGTTGATCGGAGTAAGGGATCGACCTATTCGGAGGGAATTGTGTCGATCCTTGATGGCACAATTTGACGTCAGTCAATGTATGGCTAAGTATGGTGATTATTCATTCCCTCTGGGGGTATCGACTGCTGCAGCCGTATTGGGGGTACAAAACAAAGGCAAAAGTGTTATAGAAGTCTGTAGGAGTAAGAACTGGAAAGCACTTGCCTCCAAATATGGTTTGTGCAAATGAAATTATTAAATCAAATAATTCAAATTGAAAATTAAACAACAAATCAATTAAACATTGTTGTGGGTACATTAATTGAACATTGTTATGGGTACATTATTTGGATTAATTTCGTTGAGATGGGTTATGTATAACAAAACAATCTATCTCGCATGTGAGTACTTTATTCCAACCATGTGACAAGTGTGACAACTCCATCAACTCACAACTCAGCTTTGAACTCAATCAATATTGTCTTTTAGCTTGATGGTTCATAAAGCATGTTACTTGAACAGTATGAATCAATTATGCAATTTTCATGTTCAATTTAACACTGCATTTCAAATTCATTTCATATGTAATTGGAGTTTGAATTTAAATTTCAATTTGAGTTTGAATTTCAATATATATTTCGGCTCCACTATAAATATTAGCCCAAGCCAATATGCATGTTATCATTGATTATTCCTAATTTCCATTGTTTTTTTTTTCAACGTATAAACGCGAGGGAAATCCCGACCATTTTATTTTTTGGTCAACTTTAAAGCGTCAGAAACGTTTCGGGCGTATGATCTGGGTGGTATACAAGAAATGTAACAAATAGCAACTAAAATCATAAGTTGAGTACCACCCAAATCATAAGTCTGAAATACTTCCGATGCTCATCAAAATCCAAAGCTCATATGGTGCCAAGCAAAAGGAAATCAAAATCCAAATCTCATATGATGCCAAGCAAAAGGAAATCAAAATCTACAACTTGAGTTTGAACATTGATATGATATGTTCGATTGTTATCATGTTGGGATTTTCTCTTTTTTGATTGCTTGGATAGTTGTTCTCTTGCTTCTTCAAGTGTTCTTAAGGTTATCCTTTGAGTGAGTTTTAAGATATTAATTTAGTAATTATAGGCGTCTAATGATTTATTTCTTACGTTACGATATATATTATTATTAAATTAAAAATTCTAAATATTATTTTATAAAATATCAAAACAATCAAATAATTTTTTGTGCAAATGAAATTATTAAATTAATATTGTAGGTGGAAAACATGAAACACTGTTAAAGTATCGATCATTTTTATAAAAAGTATGGACACTTTCAATATAATATAATGTAATAGGTAAATTTGCAATGCTATCGGTATAAATATACCGGTTTACTTATAAAATAGGTAAATATAAGCGCTACCTATTACATTATATAAGCGCTACCTAGTATGTTATTGTACTTTATAATATTTCCGGTTAAATAATATAACATAACCGGTCTAAATTTTAACCGGTCACTTGTTTAACCGGTCACGCCGTATATTAGCCGTTTTTTAGGCGCCGCACCGCAGAACCACCCTTAAAAATAGCTACATATAGTTCATTTACCTTGGCACTCAGTTCTTTAAACTATCGAACTCTTCACTAGAGGGTCGAGGAACTGAAAGCGATCATAAGAAAAACTCAGGGCCTCCATGTTTATTATTATTTTCAATAGAATTGTTGGTAGGGTTGAAGTTTCATTGCAAGTGACCTCAAACCATGAGTTCAAGTAAGTCCTGTTCCAAAAGGGAAGGGACCGCTAACATTTTCGCAACTGCCTTTACACCCAGATTTTCCTATATGTATAGCTGTAGAATTAAGTGCTACTGCTGCATGGGCAGTTAGCAGAAGCAAGAAAGCGAAGCTTAAGCAAATCTCTACCA